TAGGGTCCAACTCCCCATTTTCACAACACACCCATTTAAGCTTGCTGGTGCGATAAGTAGGGAATGTGGGAATGAACCTGGGATTCCCTTAGAGGAAACTATGGGGGATGGTTTATAGGGGTCACTCCCGCATTCCCTGCCGACCAGCAAGTAAGATCGGCGTCAACCAACTTCGCCTGGTCGGGCGGTGCCGGTGGTGCCGGTGGCGCCGGTGCCGGAGGTGCCTCTGCCTGGGCAGAAGTATGGCATGCACAATTCACACCATCCGGAAAACACAAAAAACAACATAAAACCTTCCTGTTCGCTGTCGGGATTTGGTCCATTGACCATAGCGGACTGCAATCTATGACAGCAGGGATGGAGCAAAGATAATACAAATGATTGTCTCCTTCCCGTGATTAAACAAATAAATAAAACATAGCGGACTGGGACATGCTAGTGGGTGGGCCACCTAAACTCTGCGGACATTTCCCTCCATAAATCCTACCTCAGTGGCGGTAGTGTTGCAGGGCTTGATTCCGTCTAAAATTGCTACTTCACAGCAAGCTACAAGTTATTTCTTGACAATCATCTGCCTCTGCCGTCACCCCTCTGAGCAAAATTCTGGATTGCTACCCGCCACGCCAAAGGGCTTGAACCCTGAGAAATTCCAAGAAAAGGACCCCGGCAAGGACCGACTGAACATCCAGACATAAAACGAGATCACATATCTGGGCTGTTCCCCTTGATGCCTTGATCCCCTGCTAAAAGTCTAAGTGTTAGTGGCTTCGTGTAAACTACCACGAAGCCATAAAATCGAAAACAACCTAAGAGCGCTAAGAGGATGGCTGGGAACCGCCAAGGAATACCAAGCATGAAAGCCATGTGTCGTCCTCTGCTAGGGCGCGCCAGATCGGTGGTGTGGCTCTGAGATGGCTGATCGATATCGGCTATGCACGCACGAAGATAAAATGGGTCTGAGTTTTCATTCGGGTCCCTTTGGAGACCAGGATTCGGTGGCTAGGTCCTCCAGCAGAGAGGATAGAACAAGGGCACCCTTTCCTGTAGTCTATTTTCGTAGGGGAACCCTCCCCCAAAAAAGTTACGGTGAGAAAGGACACCAATTGCTGGGCTGGGGGACCTAGCTGGGGATCCATGTCCGACATGGGAAGAGGTTCCCGTTTCAAAATCATAGCCATATGTCGATGTGCGAAACACAACGTAGGCATGATTTTTGTGCTTAGCTGCTGAGCCATATATCACGGTGCGTAATTACCGCAAGATCCCTGATTTCGCAAGCAACACTTAGAGTAACCTGGGCCCGGCTAGGTGAACACTTCGAGTGGTTGAGGGGAAGCTATCACTAAACCAACCAAACACCTCTTAAAACACCAGAAAGCGGATGGCTGGGAACCAAGTAACACTTCTCCCGCCTGAAGAGAGGCGCCGCAGTTCACGTCCCATCCACCCGATCAATCCCACACACACACACACACATGTGCCATCGGGCCATCGCCTCCATGCCCAGTGCCTTCAGCAAGTCCTGAGACGAAGATTTCAGTGAGCCCTCAGATCAGAACCAAACCAAACCAAACCAAACCAAACCAAACCAAACCAAGCAAACAAACAACCAAGCTTCTGGCGAACCCCACCCCACCCACCCACCCATCCACCCACCAAGCAACCAGCACTTCACAGGAACCCCAGGCCCCAAAGTCATCAAGGGAGGTTCCATGCTTGAAGGATTGCCTCTAGGGAATGATTCCTTTCAACCATCGATCTTTTGCACATTCTTTGTTGCTGGAAATCAAAGCTGCTTCAAGGAGGGCCCCCAGGTGCATCCCAAAGCCCTTGGTGAATCCCTGAGCAGAATGGAAGATGCCAGAAATGGGGTTGCACAGCCTGATGAAGTGTCCAACCCCAGCTACAGCAAGTGAGCCAGGAGAACCTTCTACAGTCCCGACCATGGGCGCAGTTCTCCGCATCTCGGATAGAGTAGATCATGTCAGGTGAGTTGGTTGTGGTCGGTGTACAGTCCCGCGACACAAAGATTGCGGACAAGCTTGAAACAACAGATTTCACCTACAAGACTCAGAGTTGTTTTGTTCCTTGTGGCTCCAGGTGAAAACACTGCTGAGCCTCAAATTTGGCTGTGGGTCACAACTAGGTGCCCAAAAAATGGAACCCTGGTAAATGGACCACGGAACAAACCCTGCGATTTTTTCTGGTGGGGTAATTTGGATCCATACCCATTTGGCCATGTGTCAAAACCCCGTACCCCCAGTGAACATCCCAATCCCAACTAAAATAGACTAAAATGGGTGGTGCACCTCTCCCAAAATGGTACCATTGGTTTTAACTCCTACCCATTTGTCAAAATCAACACTAGGTTTTTGCAGTAGAGAGGTTAGAATAAGGGTACACTTTTTTTTTCTGTAGTCTATTTTAGTAGGGGCAGAGAAGGGCACTACTGGGGGACCTAGAACACAAACTCCGCCGTATCAAGTTTCCCCCGCCTCAGCGAAATCATCCTCCGCCGGCGGATTGGGTCCAGGCGCCGATGCCGGCGTGCCGCCGAGGGCTGGGTCTGGACGACGCGGTGACGACGCGGAATGCAAACACGCGAGCCTTCTTGCCTGGTAAACCAACCACATCAAAGATCAGTTCTAATTCTGGCGAATTTGCATGTGGAAAGAAGTTGGCTGCTAATAAAGAGACTCTTTCAATGATTCAAGAAGAGCCTTTGAGTAAAGTTACAGTCGCAAAGCGATGCTTTGAGTGGGATAATCTATAGTTGCTTGATCAAGTCTAGCGGTTTGCGAGGAAGGGTGCAGGATTGGTGGTTATACTTCGCAGGAGTCGCGCGCGGATGGCTGGGGAAGCTGCCGAAATGTCCTACCGAGTCACTCCTGGTCGGTTGCTTTCCTGAAAAGGACGACTTGCTCGGTCTCAATGCTAGTCTCACAGGGTCATGCTCGTCACACTGAGCACAGACCGTCACAAAACATCACCACGCACAAGAGACCATGGGGTGAACCACTTTGATAAGATTAGTTGGAAGCTGCAGAAAGCCTATGACAAAGAGACGCGAACTATCACATGAAACTACAAATCTACAGTCAGCACATGCTGCACAACTATACTGATAGCTACAAACATCGGTATGGTTCTTTCAGAGACCCCCCCGCGGAAAAAGAATATGAAAGAGAACATGTCACATGTTCCTTTTGGCTTCTCGTTAAACCAACCCAAAGAAGGGGTACCTTCCAATGCAAAAAAAAGGCACCCTTAGATCAACAAATAATGATCGGGTACTTCACCATGCGCAGGCGAAGCATAGGCGAAGTCGATGTTTAGCCGTCAAGCCACTAGTCCAATCAACACCAAGTGGAAGCTATGGGGCTGTTCGGAACCTGTTTGAACCAGCTGGGGAAGCCAGAAGGAGACTTGGGTGTGTATTTGTGTGCGTGCGTGTAAAAATGAGGCGATCCTGCTCTCTGTAAAAGCCCCCACCCCACCAATAAAGACCAATAAGGACACCTTCCAAAATGACACACCCATCATGCTCTGTCCGATTCTAAGACAGATTTTCGTCCAGCGCCCTGGTTTCTGACACAAGCGAGATTGCACTTCCAGCTCGGGGCAACTGAAGGAATCACCGGTCTTGACCGTTCAAATCTATGTCAATGACCGCATATGGATGGCTCAGAATGCGGAGACCCCGAACCATTCAAACCGAGTGGGGGCGTTCTCGTGTCCTCAAAGAAAAGCAACTTCCACTATGGCGTTGGTTGCCTACTTTGGTGTTCTTTTGAGGCCCCGCACACAAAAGAAAATTCATGGCCTTGACGCCTTAACCATTTATTTGTCGAAAACTGGACATGGGTTGGGCGTGTTGTATAAGGACATGACCAACCACGAGACATATCGGTTCATATCATGGACCCCTAAGGGGGCTATCGGGGGGAGTTCTCTCTGGATAAGCTCAGGAGCACAGGATAAACCCTTAATAAGGCCGTATTAACTCACTGCCTGCGTGAATTGGCCAAAACAAAGTCCAAACTGTTTGTTTACCACCAAAATGGTTTTCTGAAAAAGTTGATCACGGCCATGAACTCGAAAGTGAGTCGAGGGCTTTCTCCCCAGTTCGCCCCCTTGGTCCAAAGGCGCGCCTGCCATGTCGAAGAGCTGGGAGCTGCTCTTGCCCCTCAAACGTCTCCTGACGTTTGGATCGGGCCCGACTCCCATCCGTTGGCTGCCTTGGTTGATTCCTTTTAAAGGGGGTTCTCGAAAAGGGGGTGCTTAAAAAGGGGCTTCCAAAAGGGGTGACTTCTCTTCTTTCGGTTTCTTAAAAACGGTTCAATGACTTGAGTTGGAGTGAGATCATCTGAGGGCACGTACGGAGCTTGCCACGCTGCCGAGTCTATGCTTTTTACCGTGTGCAGAACTCTCCGTGTCGCTTTCAAGGACAGTACCCAGATCTGCAAAGACACCAAGGACCCTGAAGTAGCGCAGCAGAACACGGCAGAACTCATCGTCACCAAACGAAAGCCCCACACAAGCATCGATCTACCTAGAGTCTCCATGACCCAAATCAAAATGGGTCATTGACCAACCATTATTTTGGGTAATGCAACCATTTTTTAAGGGTCAGAAGGAGACTCCAGGTATCTTGGTTGACGTTGGAAGGGAGCTAAAATTCAAATGTTAGCAGCTAAGTGGGGATTTCCCACCAAACCACAATCAGCAAAAATGTAAAATGTTTCCCAACAATAACCATGGTATGCTGTTTTCTGTGGTTGAACTTTGCGCCTCCGTCTGACCAACTTTTGTCATGAGTCGACCTCCGCAGGGGGCGAGTCACAGCTTCTGGGTCCGAAACTGAGTGATCCTCCAGATTCAGCTGGCACCAACCATCTCACCAGCCCGATCCAATGAACCCAAAACAAAACAAAAACCTAGGTCCTCCAGATTGGAGAGGTTGGAACAAGTTGGTACCAACTGTTTTTGTTTCTTGTTCTTTTTTTCTGGTTTGTCTATTTTAGTAGGGGAACCCACAACCCAAAAAAGGAACGGTAAAAGGGCACCCAGCTGGGGGACCTATGCAACGGCTCCGAGGCGACAGGGGCCTCTTGGGCGCAGCAGCAAGTGCCTCCTGCGCCATCTGGGACATGTCCGAACAGCTGAAGTTGTACCGAGGAAGCTCCACTTTCCTTTGCTAGGTCCTCCAGTAGAGAGCTTAGAAAATAAGGGTACCAACTGTGTTCTCCTCCCCCAAAAAAGAAACGGTAAAAGTTGGCACTACTGGACCTAGTTTGGAAGTTTGGTCTCTCTCACTTGCAGTCTGTGGAACAAAATCAAACCATTTCTTTCACTCTGGCTTTTCCTTTGCAAGTTTGGTCTCTTTCTTTTCCTTTGGAAGTTGGGCTGATTCATCCGGCCCCCAGTCCCTCAGAAGCCGCAACTGCCCGCGCGGCCCAAGGTCAAAGATCCCACACGTCGGGAGCGTGGAATTCAGGTTTGCCTTTAGGTTGACGGCTACATCTCAACGATTTGATAAGGGCATAAGAACAGAAACGGGCGGCACGTCCTTTCTGGCCGGTACCTTTTCGTTTGTGGTGTAAAAAGGAACCAGCGGATCCAACCAAGCCAGGGGGAAAAACAAAACATGGGTCCAAAATCCAGCGAACACCTCCCCATCTTAAACCAGGAAATCCCTGGACCGTTGTTGGAAATGCAATCTGAATCTCCTGTAGCCGGATCTACGTGGGTATCTCTCTTGTTTGTATTGCTCGGGGAACGGCTATTGGGACAGTTTTAATGGGAAACAAAAGAACACCTCCAACCAGTTTTTGAAAAGAACAACAAAAAAACTGTAATTTTAATGGGAAACCACAGGCCACAAACCATCTTGGGGTCCAACGTATCTTGAAACAAACCTTTCCATTTGCTTATGCCTGCCGGAAAACTATTCCAGTAGTGAAATCGACTCCCAACAAGCCAACAAAGGGTAAGAGTAAAACACCGTAGTCATTTCCGCAAGTGGTAAAGACCCATCCCCCCCCCTTCTCAGCACGCACGGCCTTCGCCCCCGCGTCCCCCGGGGCCCTTTTCCGGCCTGGCGGGCCTTGGCGGCTTGCAGCGCGGCCTGGCGAGCCTCGTGCTCCAGCAGCGCAGCACGGACCTGACGAAGCGAGAAGACCCAAAAACTTGCTGCATGATTTTCGCGCGAGGGCGAGAGAGAGAGAGAGAGAGAGAGAGAGAGAGATGTTTGTTGAGATGCGCTGATACACCCCATTGCCAAATTTTGGCCATTTGCTCCCCCCCCCCCCCGCCCCGCGCTTTTGGGGGGGATAGAGTGTATGTTTAGATGCGCTGAAGAAAACAGTTGCTGCCCTCCCCCCCTCCCCGTGCCCATGGCGTGAGGGTGTCCCAGATCAACCCGATGGCGCTGGTGCAAGAGACTCCCCACAAGGGACAAGGGTTTCACAGGGTGTGCGGGGTTCCCCCCCCTGCCCCCCTGTTGAATGGGGACAGGACACCTGAGTTGACTCCCAGCTTCCAAAATGGGAAATGAGATCTTCCCTTGGTAGTTGCGAAACCAAAAGCACACTGTTGCCAGTTTAGGGGCCCCATCCCGATTTCTTCTCAAACAACCCAAAGTGCTCTGAAATTTCCCAAGCGCCTTGGCTCACGTGAAGACATCGGCGAAGTTTGCCGACTCCGGAAAACAAGGCGATTGACGCCGTGTCTTCTTGATTGGTTCACCATTGGGACCATTGGCTTGTAGTCCCTCGTTGCCAGCACCCCAAAGCCGACCTTGAAGATTCGGACCCGTTTCTGGAGGCTAAAAACGTGTTTGCTTCGCTGTGGCTTTTTGAACAGGTCATGAGGCTCGGTACATGTTTTGGGTTTGCTTGAAAAGGGAAACCGTCAAAAAGCCAACATCATTGTTGTGGGTCTCCTAAAAAAGGGACACCATGCGTTGCTTTGACTCGTCTTTTCTCAACGTCACCCTTCCTTCCCCGCAAGTCGCCGACCCATCGGATGGCTCGGGCCTCGCGGACGGTGCGGTAGCGGTTGCCTTCTGGGTCCAAGAACTCGCGCATCTCCTGCGCGCATTGGCTCAACTTGATTTGGGTCCCCCCCATGGCCCGCCAAAAGTGGAGACCCCCTTCTTTGGCGCCTTTTGGGGGGTCCTGCCGTTCAGGTTGATCTAGGCCAAAAGGATCGCGGGCACCTTCCTTTTTTGGGCTAAAGGGGGCCCATTTCAGGTTGATCTGAAAGGACAACAAAAAGAAACCAAGCATTTTGTGGGCACTCCTATGTTGGCACACACGCAAACCCATAGCGATTTTACCTTCCAGTGAACACTTGGAGCACACCCAAAAAAGGAGCCGGGAGAGGTCCAGCCCAAGTGAACCCGTCGCCTTCTTCTTTCGCTTCACCCATTCCATTCGCCAGCCCTCTGGCAGGACCTTGGCCAAAGCACGCCTCGCAATGCCAATGCGGTTTGATTGAAAACATGATCTTTTAAATGCACTGGACAGACGTCCCCAACAAACATGTACCACTAAAGGGGTAGCAACACAAAATGTAAAGTTTGGCCACTGGCAAGGTGAGTCTCCAACAGGAAAGTGGTCTTACAAAGTGAAGCCAAGATGGAACCGCTGAGCCTTGCGCCACCGGGGCGGGCTCATTCTTCTTTACCAGCTCCTGAGGAAGCCATGGTCGCAGGCGACTGGGGCCAACACCTTGGAGTCCCATGTGCTGGTGCTGGAAACTAGGTCCAGTAGAGAGGTTCGAATAAGGGTACCCTTTTCTTCTGTACTCTATTTTTAGTAGGGGAACCCTCTCAAAAAAAGGGTAAAAGGGCCCTACTGGGGGACCTAGGGAAAAAACACAACTTTTTCTTGAGCAAATCTTGGGTGTCAAACATATCCACTACATTGCCTTGGGGGATGGCACAGCCCGCATGGCCTTGTTGAGGTCGCTGGCCTCGCTCTCCGACTCGTGCACCTGTAATGGTGATGCCAACAGCTCGCAATGCGTCGATTCGAACGTTTGGCGTGGTTGCTCTGGTTCTCGGGCAAGAAACCTCTACAGCTAGCTCTTCATTCACAGTGAGGTGAATTTGCAGCTCGGGAAAGGCATCCCTACCTGAAGGGACACTGGAAGCACGTGGGAATTGTCGGTGCTATGCCATGTGCTGAGCTACAGGCTGCTTCTCCCCATTGCAGCACGTTGATGGCAGGGGTCAGACAAAACCGCAACTCGTAAGTTCAAATGGTGCACGGCGAGACTACCAAAGGTCCTTGAGAGGTGCATAGTGGCAACAGACAAACAGGCTCACAGCCTCATACGGTTCATGCAGCCGGGTTGGCGTGGAGTCTTCATTGTTTCTGCTCCCGAATCGGGGCTTCGCGTAGATGACACCGTGACTAGACAGCGCCTCTCCCGTTGCAACCGACCCAAAGGCGGGCCTCCACATCCAGCCCATCTTGCTTGGTTTCAACAGCGCACCACAAGAAAACTCGAGTTCAAAAGGGAACCTCTCGATGAGTATTCAAAAATGGGTCAATGACCAACCATTCTTTTGGGCAATGACCAACCATCTTTTAAGGGTCAAAAGGAGACTCCAGGTAGTCAACCCCATGATCATATAAATCCCTAAAATGGATGTCCGTGGTCGGGTCCCTTGGTCCCTCGGTGCTTAAATACCTCGGGTTGCAAAATATGTGCGTCTCTTTTACCCCCAAAATGGTGGAAGCTTTCTTTTGGTGCTCTTTTTAAACCATAAAACGGGGCTCCCCAAAAAAGACGACATGGCTGTGGGTCAAAAATGGGTACCCGAAAAGGCTCGCCCTGGCAATTGGAACCAAGGACGATTTAACCTGCGGTCCACTTCCTGTTGGTCTAATCTTGGACCCATTCAAAAAACAGATCCAAGGGTCAAAAATAAGATCATAGACCCAACAAACAGATCTCGACCCAACAAAAACAACAAACATACCACATATAGACCCCCAAAATGGTGGAAGCTTTCTTTCGGTACTCTTTTAAGACCAATTATAAAACGGATTCCCCCGCTCCCCCAACCAAAGAAAAACACGGACTCCGCCTCCCGACTGGGCCCCGCCTCACCGTGCTCCTCGGCCAAGTCCTCCGCCAGGTGCGCGAAGACGTCTTTGTCCACCGCCAGGGAGCGCATGGCTTCCAAGGCCGGGGCAAACTCCTCGGTGCCTCAGCCATGGCACACAAAAACCGGATCCGTTTTCATCCGTTTTCCCCGAGTTTCCGGAGGTTTCTAGAAAGATTCGCATCCCTGGGTTTAGAATGGAAATCGGCGGCTGGTGGGAAATTCGCTGAGGTCTGTTGGTGGATGCTTGGAAGGGAAAAATACTCACTTGGCTCAGTCTTTTGGTGGTTTTGAGGGGAAGATAAGTCCTTTTCTGGGTTTAAAGGAAACTCACTTGCGATTGAGTGGACGGGCCAAAACAAGTCTGAAATTTTGTGTTTACCACTAAAATGGTCCAGTCATGGCTCAGGTCTTTTTTGTGGATGTTTTCATGGGAAAATACTCACTTCCGATCGAGTGGATTTGTTGGCCAACTTTGATGGATGCTCTTTTTTTTTGGGTGGCTGTTTGCGGGTAAAGGGACGCCAAACGGAAAACCACCAATTTGGGGGGGGGGGAGCTGTTTGCGGTTTTGGTACTTGCGATTGAGTGGATGGGCCAAAAAAAAATCTGCACTTGTTAATGCTGGAGACCCAAAAAGTGACTAAAGTCCAGGAACTCACAAAGTGAGGGAAACCACTAATTGGAGGGGCTGTATTGTGGTTTCAACCGGAAACCAAAGGAAATTGGGGGGGGCCCCTTTGAACAAAAACCCCTGTACGTGTCAACGGATTTGGACACACACCCTCCCCAACAAAGACACGCTTTCTGCATTCGGACATAAGTCAGGCTCCAAAGCAAGGGTTTTCACGGCCCCTGCGGTTCAACCCTGGCTCAAATCAAGGTTTACACACTTTTCTCACTTCCCCAAAGGACCCATCAATGAAAGGTTAACCTTTTGGGATCCCCCTACCTCTCCTTTCCCCCACCTCTCCCCCCCCCCCAAACATCCAAAAAAAAAACCTGGGCCCCCTCACGTTCCGTCAGCTGGTTCAGCGCTTCCTCATCCGCCGTCTCCGGCTTCAGCGAGGCGATGGCCTCCGCTTAGACCGAACGAACTGGGGCATGCGTCCCTTTGCTGACGTCCCCGGGGAAAACTGTTTCCCAACCATGTAAACATGTAAGCAAACATGTAAAATGTTTCCCAACAACAACTATGTAAACCCTCCATCTACCTAGAGTCTCCTTCTGACCCTTTAAAAATGGGTCATTGACCAACCATTATTTCGGGTAATGACCCCATTTTTTAAGGGTCATGGAGACTCCAGGTACTGTGGATGGTTGCGAAATCCACCATTGGACACCATGGTTCGTTGTTTTTTTTTACAACGAACTCGTCATTCCAGGGTTTTGTAGGTGGTGCAGGATTTCGTCCATCCACAGTAGTGATAGATTTCATTTGAAACCAACACGGGGACTGGAAAACCAAATATGTCCAGTAGTGAATCGATTCCCTGTAAAACCAGAAGGCGGAAATAAACACTATGCTGAAGCAAATGGAAGCTTGGGGGGTGTTCATTGTTAAGGGCACCTTTTTTCCCACTCCCGATCGGGTGGATGGGCCGAAAACATGTCTGGACTTTTTGTGTTTACCACCAAAATGATCCAGACCCAACAAGCGACTAAAGTCCAGGAACTCAGGAAGGGAGTTTTGGGGTGGTGCTAAAAGGAAACCAAGTGACCACCCTTTTTGGGGGGTCCAAAGCCTATTCTAAGACACATGAGATTTGTGTGAGCTCATTGAGGACAGCAATGACCCAAACACTCAAACACCTGAAGGTTTGTTTGTTGCTAATGACCAGACCACTTTTGGAGGGGGTCAACATGACTCGTCTTCACCCGATTCCCTTGCGGTTGAAAAACAAATCAAGTTGGCAGTTGGGCGGTGTAAAAAAAAGCCTACACGGGTGCCGAGACGATTTTAAAGAAACAAGTTGGCAGTTGAGCGGTGTAAAAAAGCCTGCACGGGTGGCGAAAGGATTTTCATTCAAACAAGTTGGCAGTTGGGCGGTGTTTAAGCCTACACGGGTGCCGAAATGTAAAAAAAAGAAGAAGAAAAACGGAAGACAAAAAAGCGCGGAGGGCAAAAAAAGCGCGGAGGATCCCATTCGCGGACTCTGACTCTGGAAGCTGAAGCCAAAGAACTCCATTCTCCGCTGGGTTTGGATGCAAATCTTGAAAACCAACCGCACCCACGCACAAAACCTGGAAAACACCACCTGGAGTCTCCATGACCCGAATCGAAAAAGGGGTCATAAGCCAACTTGTTTGGGTAATGACCCCATGTTTAAAGGGTCAGAAGGAGACTCCAGGTAGGAAGCTTCAGTAACTACGCAAGAAAAATCGGGAGTTGCCTTGTTCCCCCACTTGCAACAGTTGGACACCTCCCGGACGACAACGACTTGACAAGCGAGAGGTCGTACATTTGCGCATGTGCCCATTCCAGTGCCACTTTGGAGCACAATATGAGCTCATTGAACCTGGAGAACCTAACCTCCGAAGCAAAGTGCAGAAGCTTTGCCACACAGTTGTCTCAGTTGTCCTATACACTTTAAAAGCGCTGTTCAGGTTTAACACAAGACATACCTGGACCACCCAAATCGGCAGAAGTTTCCGCCTTTTTGGAAAAAGGCGCCTTTTTGCTGTTTACGGCGTTTTTAGTCTTCCTTGCAGCGTTCTTTCAACATCAAGTTCTGTGTAAAAAAAGGCAGCAGGAAATCGGCGGAATTCGGCGGAAATTCGCGGAAGCAGGTTTCAGCATGTCGAAGTGTTTGTTGCGTTTTGGCGTTTCTTCTCGCAGGCGGCATTTTTGTTTGCTTTTCGGCGGAAATTTCGGCCGCCCGGGCCTTTCGGCAGAAAGTTCTGCCGCCGGAGGGTCCAGGTATGCGTGCTAATTAGGTCACTCAAAGGCATAATCCGTCTGGGAAGTGGCTGGCTGCGTTTCAAGCAGTCTCAAGGTCAAAACTTGATGACTGTGCCTGGCATGAAAATACCTATGCATTGGCAACGTTTTCAGGAACACAAAACCAAACATCTGGAGCGATCACTGGCACTAACACACACGCACAAAAAACAACAAAAAACAAATAGCCCCAACCGCGCATGGTGTCCAACATGACCATGACCATCCAAGACAGTGTTTGGTAAAAGCTATGCTCTGCAATCTCAATTTCGTCCGTCGAAAGGGCAGTGTTGTGTGTGATATGGTGATATGTCCTTCGCGTGGTTGTCCAAAATGCCTCTCAATGAGTAGAAGGTGTCGTTTGGTCATGGCACGTGTTGAAACCGTCGGAGCTACAGGGAACAAAACTGTTTGCAATTATAGTAATCAACATGAAACACATGGTCAAGAGTGCAAACGATTGAATCCAAATGCTTAAACCATTAGCACGTTAGATGATGTTTAACCATACCCTTGAAAACCCATGAATGTGCTAATTAATGACTACATATGCACCTGTGTCTGTTCGGAGTTGGTACCTGTTTCTTGGTCAAGGGAACTATCAGGAAAACCAAAATCCATTTGCGGGGTTCTCCGAAAAAATAGAAAGGACGAGCCACCCTCTTTATTCGAAACGAGTTAATTCCGGTGAATCGAAGCGAAAATCGCCTCACTGGCGGAGTCTGCGAGGAAGAGCATCTGCATAGCGCGAACCATGGCGCGGGGCTTTGCCGCGCCTGCGAAGTGGCCGAGGCGCAAAGAAAATGCCAGTGATGAGGAAGATATGTGAAGGGGAGCCTGATGTCTGGCAAACGGTACATTCAATTATTGAGCAGAGTTTGTTTGGGGTACATAAAAAGGGGAACTCCGCGGAACCTACGCGAGCCTACGGGAGCTGCATTTTTTGCAGAGTTTCAGCCTACGCAGAGGCAGTTCCTACGCAAAAAGCCTACGCGGCCTACGCGGACTGTGCAGGCACACAATTCCAGCCTACGCGGCTCCGGGCGCTACAAAAAAAACTATGCTCAATTTGCAAGAGTTTGAAGTCGAAACCTGGAGTCTCCATGAATGTGGAAACGCCCGAATTCGCTTCAAATGCATCCCTCGATTGGGATTTGTAAGTCACTTTGGATAGGGACGGCATTGCCCATTCCTGGGCGGACGCCTTGCAAGGAGAATAACTGCGCAACCTACAGCATCTCTTGGTATGGCAAAGAGACCTTAGCGTGAAGCACTGCATGACCCAGTTGCCCATTGAAAATGACACCTTCCACGGAAAAACACCATAACATGCAACAAAGCCGTTGAACTAGCGAAAGCATGCGCATTCAAGCAGACAAGAAAGCCGATGTCACAGCATGCGCACTCGTCGCCTCGAGCTTTCAAGAACCCAAGTCAAGTGTCGGGTTGGTGCCGCAGGATCAGAACTCTTATCCAGTCCAAACGGAAAATTGCGGCCCGCGCCTTTCTCTGCCTGTTCCAAGAGACGTGCGAGCTCGTCGTGGAGACGCTTCACGTGTTCCGGGCCCAGGCCCAATGACAACAAGTCGCTGTCCTGGAGGAGTTTGGCCATGGAGTCAAACTCGGTCAAAGACTTGCTGGTGCTCAGCGGGAATGAGGGAATGACCCTTGTAAACCATCCAACTCGTGGCTTCCTTTAAGGGAAGGTTTATTCTCACAATTCCTACTTATCGCACCAGCAAGAACATTTCACAGTTCCAAGTTCCTTTGAGCAAACCACCCTTACGCAAAACTTCCGCGATAAACAAACACCATCAGTCAACAAGCCAGTTGAGCCACATAAGACACAATCAACGCCAGCGTGCTGTGATGATGATACAACAAAAGCCGATTGACTACACAAATAGGGGCAAAGGTTGGCTTGCACAACATGGGTTCGCATGGGTTCTGGAATTGACTTTTCATTTTAAACATTTACAATCTGCGGTTTTGGGCGAACACGAAGTAGCCCAGGGAATCAAAGAGGTACACGTAGTTCACGAAGTACCAAAAGAACCCAGTCCCAAAGCACAATGTAGAAGGTGCCGGTGACCAGATTGTGGGAGTGACAGTTAATGAAGATCAAGTTTGGGGAGGTTGGAAAACAGGTTGAAAGAAGGTAAAGATAGGGATCGGGCCCGGGAGCACCTCGGCGACCTGCCGCCCACCTCCTAGTGCCGATCAGCAGGGACACCACGGACCTTTTCCGCAATGGCACGGCCAATCGCCGCACTATGGCGAGCGCACGCAAATCCGAGGGAATCCCGACGGGGGAACCAAATCTTGAGCCAAACGGCCATTCGGCCGTTTTGCCATATGAAGAAACAACACGTGAACAAAACACACCCCCCTCATCCGATATCTGGACGAGAGAAAGGATGCGAGACAGTTGAGTTCACGACGAAAGGGACCAACCAAAAATGCCGGTGTCAACTCAGAGGTGAGCCAAACGGCAGCACCTGGGCCCCAGTTAAAATCCCGCCACCACCCCGAATTAGCGGGGCGACAGGATTATTTGACGAGTGGGCCACATGAGTGAACAAGGACATAATGGAGGAACCAGACGAAGATTCCTCTCGTGCCGTTCATGCATTGTCATGGGACAACAACATGCGGAGGGGGACCCTATCTGGATCACCGCGCCTCGCTGCACGCCGTGAAGTGGTTGGGGGGGAGTAATCGAGTTGGGAGGAAAGAAGAAAAGGATGTTCCGAAATTGGTGTGAAACTATCCGGCTACGGCCGGCCCGGCACTTCTAGTGCGGTCACAGCCTCACACAGGATCGCCAGGGGAACCGTCTCCGGCGCGCACGGCAGCGGTGCGGGAGGGACACGAACAACGCCGGATCAGCGGTACAGGGCAATGGAGACCATCACCCCCAGCAGTGCCGCATGGGCGAGAGGAGGACCGGCGCGGTCGCGTTTTTCGGCGACACACGTGCCATCCTCGCCCTTCTAAGGCGGATGCTGATTGCGGTACCTGCCTACCACCCTGAACCAGGTTCTTCCCGGTCTCTGGGCGCGTCGTCTCTCCGGCGTCCACCGCGGTCACCTCGATCACCTCCTCCATCCCGACGGCGATCCTCACCACCACCCCTACTGTGGTCGCCAGCCGGAGGTCGGCGAGGCGGAGGGGGATCTGATTGGTGACGTCGGTCATCCCTGCGCCGGTCCCGGTGGCGATCGCGACGGTCATCAGCCGGGTCGTCACATCCGCGGCGCTCATCTCGCCCCGGACCGCGCCTCTCGGAGGGCTCCTCATGACGTGGAGGAGGTCGGCGATCATCGCGTCGGCCTCCGCGGGTATCCCTGCCACGATCATCCCTTTGTCGGGGCGGGCCAGGATCCTCGCGTCCACCTTTGCCAGGTCGATGTTTTCCTCGACCCTTCCCCTCACCCTTAGGGCCGCGACGATCCTCGCGGGCCCCAAGCGCGGTCCTTGACCGATCGTCATCTCGGTGGGGCCGTGACTCATTGGCCGCACGAGTGGTGCGAGGCACGCCCGGGGGAAGCTCCCATTCATCGTTGTCGTCATCGCGCGGGTCATAGCCGCCATGGCCGCCCAAGGAACCAGTGGCATCCCGTGGTGGGGACGCAGGAGTTCCGGGACCGCCCGATCGAAGACGAACCCGGGGAGTCGCGTCCTCGCCGGTAAAAGGATCCTTCTGGGTGTAGAAACCCTTGGTTCTGCCCCTTCTCTCCCCCCCTTCCGCACCGCTTCTCGCGGGGACCGGGGATGGACGGGCAGGCTGGGCCATGCTCTTAGAGCTGGGTTGCCCGCCAGGCGGGACATGAGCGCCCCCCTGCCCTTTCTCGGGCGCGGGGACCCGACCACGAGATGTCCTCCTGGCCTTGGGTTGGTCGGTCTCACCCTCCAGCTCGGACTCGGTGTCAGGGACACGAGTATTGACGGCCATGTCCTCTTCCTCAAACGGATCCCCAGCCGTTGTAACGCCTGCAGCAATGGGAGCGGGAGGAGGAGGAGGAGGAGTAGGCACAGCTTCGCCAGAACCGACGCCTGCGTGCGACACCACGGGAGTCTCCGGTTCTACCGGGACAGGCGGCGCAGGAGGAGCCGGGGGCGGTGGCGGAGGGGGAGGGATCTCCTCCTCGTCGTCGCCCATGGGCTCGTCAAGGTCGTCAGGCTTCTCGTCATCTTTGTGCGAAGACCCATCCGATCCCAGCTCATCCTCCGCTGATCCAGCAAAGTCGGGCTCGTCTTCGTCTTTCACGCCGGGGCCTGGTGTAAGGCGAATTCCGGGTCGATGGCGATCGCGGGGTCGGAAGCGGTATTTCCTTGGTACAGGGTCGGCCAGCTCCTGTTTGATGTCGTCCTGGGTCTGAGGGCGGTCGGCCAGGCATGTGTCGTAGGCAACGGTGGACGTCCGGTAGATCAGATCATCCATACTGCTGAGGTCGTTGAGCGTGTAGACGTATCCCTTCTTAATGCCTTCCCGTATCGTGTCCAAAGCTTGTTTGAGGCGCGCGGCGGGATCGAATCCGGCCTTCCTCCGCATGGCCTGCATTATCCCGCAGTGCTGTGCGAGCAGCCCCACCTGGGCCTTGAACCCCTCCCCGGACACATCGTTGGGGAGTATCGGAGAAAGGTGCCCTGATCTCAGCCCAATGATATGGGCCTCAACCATGTAGTAGGACGTGTAAAAGCCGCACCGGTTGGCGTTGAAGTTTGCGGTGGTTAGGCGTCTGCCCCACTCAGCCGCATATCCCTCATATTCTTCGAAGAAGTCGGGGACGGAGCTCCCGTTGAAGGCAAGACCCCTTACCAAGATCGCCTTTGCGACCCACTCTTCCACGTTGTGGTCGACCGTGTCACGGTACTTGCCGTCAAGAACTTCGTCTCGGAGCGAGTCGTGAAGTTTCCGGAAAATGCCATCCACGTCCTCTTTGTCGAGGTACTTAGGAGGCCGCATCCCAGACATCAACAAGGACCGGGCATCAACGGCGGGACTCTGCGAGTAGAGGGCCATTCCGATGGCGTTGGCGTCTGCGTTGTTCCACAGAGCGGGGACGACGCCCTCGTATTTTGCCAGCCAGGGAGGAATCACCCCGTCGGTGCTCGCTATCGTGCGAGGGCCGCCGTTCGTGTCTCCGGTGGGCAGGACGCCCTCATAGAAGATGGGAAGGTAGCAGGCGGTGCACAGGTGAGCGCCGATCGGGTGGGCCGTCATGCACCTATGGCATGGAGCGGACACCACCTCGCGGACATGCTCCGTCTTGGTGATCTGGTGATACTTCTCCATCTCGTCCCGACACTTCCTCGGGTTATCACTCACGGAGTTGAGGAAGTTGGGCGGATAGCACCAAGGCCTCAGGTAAATGATGGAGCAGTCCTCCTTGAAGTAGACGCATCTCCAGTACCCGATCGCGATGTTCTCGCGCGATGCAAAGGTACCCTGACGAGTAATATGCATGCCCCCATTTTCCATGGAGAAGAAACGTGCATCGATAGCCATGACCACATATCGGGGATCGCTCCTTTGGCGTCGACCCGAGGTGTGCAGCTCCGTCACATTGCTGTCGGTGATGCGGTCGACGGTGTCGTTGGGGCATTCTCCGTGATCGCGGAGGGATTGATATTCATCCGGCCTAGAGGGAAGGAGCTCGATCAGAGCTCGCCCACCTCGAATGATCGCCCCACGTTCTACGTAGAGCCGATACATCCGGAGAGGCACCACCTTGTAGAGTGTCTTGGGAACCACCTTGGATGTGATAGGAAGACAAACAGGGCTCTCGTAGAGCATGTATTGGTATCGTTCACGAAATGCTCGGTAATCAGTGTCGGATCCGATCTCAAGCGACCTTACCGCCGCTATGCGGGCGGAACCAGGCAGCAACCGACGCTCCTTGTCACGAATGACGGTGATGATGATTTCGAACATTCCCACCCCGTCTTCGAGGAAGGAAGACAGGAGGTACGATGAAAAGGCATCCTCAGACTCGACGCTGGTCCCGAAGTAGTGGCTCAGGAACTTCTTCAGTTGTATCACCGAAGTGACGTTCCCTTGCCCGCTGGCAGACGAGGCCTCCAATTCTGGGTCCTTGACTGCACCTGCATTTCCAGGCGGCACAGCTGTTCCACGGAGCGCGTCGCGTATTTCCGCGCATGCTCTCCTGTAGTAGTGCGAAGAGGCGCCCGTCCTACCCTTCACCTTCTGACGGATCTCGTCGGCGAAGTAGTCCAGAAGTTCCTCGGGTGCGGGAACAATGGCCTGGATCATCAGGTCAGGGTCACTCCTGGTCGGGAGGATAGGTCCTGCTCTGGACCTCACTCCCATCTCCAGGAATCGGGCAATGTCCCCGATCTTGGCGCACAGAGTAGTGATCGTGTTTCCGATCCTGGGGGCGATATCTTCGCCTCTCCTGGCGCCGAGGATGACCACATTTTTCTTGATGGACTCCTCCTTCAGCCTCTCGAGGTTCCTCCGGGTGTCTTCAGTGCCCTTCACCGCGCTGAGGCGGAGAACCGCAGGCTCCGGTTTGTCCGGTCGCACGAGCTGGCCGTCGGGAATCTGGTCGAAAATGCGCGAGGCGGACT